ACAAAAGACTTATGGAATCATAGAATCACAGAATGGTGTGGATTGGGAGGGACCTAAAATAACATCTATTTCCAACCCCTTCCCATGGACAGGGACACCTTCCAATATCCCAGGGTGCTCCAAACCCCATCCAGCCTGGCCTTGGACACTTCCAGGGATGTGGCAGCCACAGCTTCTCTGGGCAGCCTGTGTCAGGGCCTCAGCACCCTCACAGGGAAGAATTTCTTCCTAATATCCAAGAGTCAACACAATTCTCTTCACCTTCTTTTACAAGTGTCCTTTCCTAGTGCTCTTCTGGCGTGATGCGAGGAGTGAACCCAAATCCAGGTGTAATCACAGCTATGGAGTGGATTTTGAAACCTAGAGGTTTCCACCTTCAGACAGTCCTCTGTAAGGAAAGTCAACTGCAATGATTCCCTGCCATGTCTGAAGTCATCTCCTGGTGCTTTTCAGAAGCTTAAGACCTGCTTGCCTTTAGAATCAGACCCTGTAAGGGATTTCACATGGGCAGGAACAACCACATCAAGTGCTCTGTTAGAAGTAAGCACAGGGGATTGATGGGGAGCAAGAGAAACACATTAACACAAGAAAAGTAAATAAAAATACATGATTCATCACTCACACCATCTGAGACTGAAACACAGACATCTAATTTTTATTATTTCTTATTGCTTTCATAAAATAATTAGAGCTCCTAGGTGTTATGAAAAGCATCCATCTTAGCTGAGGTTCCTTTTTATCACAAGAGCAGTTCAGGCAGGCCCACCGGCCCTTGCAGAAGGGAGCAGAACCCTGTTATCTCTAGTAAACAGCTTTCTTGCAACTTTGGGATACACCTCCGCCAAAAGTTTCTGTTTCAGCATTTAACCCCTGCTTTGCAACACTCATGAAACAAAAGCAGACATGAAAGAGTGAAGTTTTTAAGTGAAACATGCTCCCCTTCAACAAGTCATGCTTTAGCTGAACATAGCCTAACTGGATGTAATTATTTGGACTATTCTATTTAGAGGAAAGAAAAAAAGCTCATTCCTTCTAGTGTTACCTTCTATTGATGTTCTTTGTGTACTGGAAAGATTAAAAATACTGCCTAGTAATCAAGTAAGGTCTTAGAGAACAAAGTCAAAGATTTCAAATGGAAAAATAAAACACATTTATTTCAGAAAGAGAAACTGCAATATCAACCCACATTTACAAGAAATCAGCTAAGAGGTTGGTGGAGGTGATTTGGTTCCAGTGAAGACAAAGGGGCAATGGGCAGAAACTGGTGCACAGAAAGTTCCACCTGAGCAGAAGGCAGAACTCCTTCCCTGTGCAGTGACCAAGACCTGGAATGGATTGTCCAGAGAGGCTGTGAAGTGTCCCTCACTGGGGATATTCCAGAACTGCCTGGACACAATCCTGTGCCCTGTGCTCTGGCATGACCCTGTTTGAGCAGGGAGGTGGGACCAGATGATCCACTGTGGTCCCTTCCAACCTGACCCATTCCGTGATCTTATTGTTGCTATCCAAGGAGTCAGAAAATCCACTGAATGTTACTTCTCTCTTTAAGGTGAAGGAAGCTATTTAAGGACTGCATGGACAAACTGCATTTTCTTGGATGAGCTTTCAACTTGCAGAGAGATAGGGTCTGCTGACTTGAAGAATTTAGGTTAATGTTTAATGAAAAAAATGTTTCTTCCACAACACTGCAGAAATGGGATAAATGTCAACGTTCTCAAAAAAAACTTACCTCAAAGTTCAGGAGATGTAAGAAATATTTCTGTCCCAGTGTGGAGGAAAGATGCACCTTATTCCACCCTCCTGGTCTCCACAGCTGTGTCTACAAGAAGAGCGCACACCAAAGAAGAAAATCGAAGATTATTGTGCACCCAAGTCATGCTTTGTAAATCCACTTTGACTGAGGAATCCTTGTAGCTCAGACTTCAGTGAACTGAGCTCAGAGTCTTAAATAACCTCAGCCTCTTGTAGGAGACATCCTGGACCTGATTTAACTGTGTTGGCCAACAAATGTGACCAAAAAGGGCACTTCCATTCACCTGTCCTATTTTGCCACGTATTTTAGGTAACTTCCTTTACCATGAAAACAACTGCTCTTAGAAGTTTCTATTTCTTCTGGAAAATAAATAGAAAACACTCGTAGATATGGTGCTGAGGGAGTATAGTTGGTGGTGTTGGTCTAGTGGTGAACCTGGCAGTGCTGGGTTAATGGTAGGACTTCACAGTCTTAGAGGTCTTTTCCAACCTTAATGATTCCATGAGTCCATGATTTAAAAGGAAAATATTACAGGTTAGATCAGGTACAGAAATGCACAGTGTGTGTCTGGTCAGTTGGATGCTACTCCTAGTGATACTTGAGGGCATTCTGTAAGAAGATTATTAAATGCACATTCTTTCTCATTCTTTAGGTAAGATACTGCCCAAGCAAGTTTTATTTCTTATTTTTATCATTCCAGAAGCTCAAAATTCTGCCATAACTGTTCACATTTATTTACATAAAGTTTGTGATATGTCACCAACATCCTATTTAGATGGAAAGCTGGATAAAAAAAAAATTCAACAGCTATTTAAATGACAAATATGTACAGTTATTTAGTAGATCCAGGTGTGCAACAATAATATTTGTCAAACACCCTCACTCCTTCCTTTGCATTAATAGCCACCAGGACGGGGATAAAGCAAATAAGGAGACAGAAGGAAATTTCCTAAAGAGGAACAGTTCAAGAAGTGTGCATTTTGATTGCCCTATGCAGCAGCTGGATGGACACACAAAGGCATTTGAAAGGAGATGTTGGAGGTGGCTGTTCCCCATGACTTGGAAAGCCTGTGTCAGAAACAAGGCAACCAGGAAAAAAGTGGGAATGACAGACAGCCATGGCAGTTGCTTCTTCTGGGAAATACATTGGAGCAAAATGTAGGACCTCCTATGTACAAAGTTTCCACTGTGATGTAGGGCTGAAAGATCCAGACTTTGTTTTCATGATTTAACAGGACAGACATTCTGTACTCTCCACAGATGGTGTGACTGGGTGTGTGTATACCCAGGGTATGGATATTCACAATTCTTCCCTTGAGGAGAATATCCAAAGTACCTGTCATTTCCTGAAGCAATGCCCAGACCAAATATGACAAAGGACAAAGCCCATCTCAGCAAGCAAAAACTGAGGCAGTAAGTCAGGCCAAACTGGGTTTTCCCAAAAGGTCCAATGAGGAAAATAGTCCAGCTCCACCCCTTGGATAAAGCATCTTCTTCCTGGTTTGCATTGTCAGTTCTTTTAGCTTAAAGATGGCAATATCTGAAGATAATTTGTGACAGATTCAGCCTTGTTAGTGGTGAGAGAGAAATGTTTCATTTATTTAGAAGAACAAATATTAGAGTGCATAAATATTGGAATATAATTTCTTCAGTATCCCTATTTGTGTGTAAATCACCTGTACATGTCTAGGGCCATCATTCTGTGGCTGCTGGACACTAGTTCACCTCTCTGGGAAAGCCAAGTTATTCTTCCTGGCTAAGGAAAAAGGAAAAATACATGGATGAATACTCTTCCAATACAGATTGTGTGCCTCTGTGTGTATGCACCTGCATGAGATTTAAGACATAAAATAATAACCTCAGAAAAAGTCCTGATGGAATGGACTTGACCCATTTTAAATTCTAAACACTATTAAAAGGCTCTTTTCCTGTTAAAATTTCAGCAAGGAAATTTTTCTGTACCCCTAAAACATCTTAAGGTGCAATAAGGATTGCATGTATGTGAGATCTTCACAAGGAAAAACTTTATGCAATGAATACACAGGATATTCTTGGCTGAGCTATGAGTAAAAAAATCCAATGAACTTCACTCATGAGTTTGTCCTTTTTCAATCACCTCCTGAGCAAATGTAGGAGCTCACAAGTCCTCACAATCAAAGCTGGCTGTGTGTCCTATCCTGTGGTGCAGTAAGGATGAGTGATAGCTTTTTAACAAAGCTCTGCTTCCTCTCTTTGAGCTGCTCAAGTGAAATACAGCTGCTATGAAGGAAAAAACACACATGTGCTTATTTTAGCTTTGCCACTTGCAAGCTTGATAATGTGATAGGCAAGAATTTTCTTGCTAAATACTTTGGTTTCCCTTCCAAATGCAGAGACTCATTTTCAGGGAGAAAAAACTGTGAGAACTTTGAACTTAGTTTGGATATTGGTCTAACTCTACCTTTATATTAGAGAAGCAATTGGACTCTGAAGAGCAAGAGATCATCCAACAGTAAACTACGTGAAATTTAATTTTCTCCTCCATTTGTGAAAAAGTTTACAAATTAAGCTTTTTAAACCATATAATAGATTTGGTCTCTGACCTATTTCCATTGTCTGAGCTAAGGGGAATGCTAAAAAAAGCAATCACTAAAAATGAAAAATGGAGTTGCTCTCTTCAAATTCCTCTTTTTAGTAATTGCAGCTTTCCTTTATAAGAATTATGAATATCCTTTTTACATTTAATAAGTACAATAATTTCCTTTTTAAATAAAAGTTTACAGTGGGAACTTGTGGTCTGCGAATGAGTACTTCACTGTAAAATAAAAAAAAATGTCTTCAGATTGTTGAAAGATATTCTCTTTGCTTATAACAGCCTATATGAAAAGAGGTGATTTCCCATGTTTTATTTGCAATACAAAATTATTTACTTTTTGGAAGAAGAGCTACAACTTGAAAATATTATTGACTACAGGCAACAAAATTGAAAGTCACTGCTCATTACTATGTGCAGCAAACCAGGCTCTGTGAGATTTTCTTAAAGGCTAATTCCTTTTTAAAATACATATAGGCAGTGAGAAGTATGTCTGTGGCTGAATGAGCTGGTTTGTATCACAAACTGGAAAAAAACCCACATGCAAGTCAGTATTTCAGACACAGAAGTACCCTGGGAAATTGAAACCACTATATTGACCCATACTTTTTCCCTCCCTTAGTGGGTGGGACGGTGTGTTCACGTCTCTGTTTCTTTTTTTTTCACTATATCACCCAGATCCACAGAATTAGCCAGCTCCTCTGAAGGCAAACACCCATTATCAAGCTCTCACAGCCACCTGCTCTCCAGCAATGCCTCCAGACTTTGACACCAACATGAAGTTCAAGTTCTCGATCCTGGCACTTCTTCTGGAAGTGATTGTCATTATTTTGTTTGGGATATTTGTGGATTATGACCCAGATCCTTCTAGAATGTTATACCCACGTAAGTATTTCTGTCTAAGATTTGTAGAAGTTGAAATTTCTTTAAATTGATCCTAAGCAAGATTTCTGAATAACTTATGAGACCTACTGATAGAGCTGGAAAAGAAAGTTGAGTTTTGGGGCAAACACATTTTCCTGAGATGTGAAAGCAGCAGGCTTCAAAGACAAATCCAAATTGAGCAGATACAAAATTCTGCAAGACTCTCCCTGCTGAGATGCTTGCTGTTTTGGGAGAGAAGAGCCTGGGAAATAGTTCTAGTGTTTGCACAGCAGGTTAAGACCTGGAGAACTGTGCATTTCTTTGAAAGAGTCCAGCATTTTGCAGAGACAGATGGGGGTGTTTCTTGCCAGACCTTCTATCCTGATTAATGTATTAAATAATTAAAATGAATAGAATGTTTCATTACTACCATTCAGGTTTGGAAAATGTGTCTTATGAGAACATGGAAATTGAGCTGCATATTCATCATTGCTATAAAATGTTTGTGAAACCTGAACTCCAAAAAGGGCCATAGTTTTGGTGACAAGGTGGATAACCCCCTGCTATCTTCCAAAGCAGTGCCTCCATTAGGCTATAATACTTTAGCCTGAAAATGTTTCTGTTGATTTGTTTCTCTGCAAATACTTGGAGAAGATCAGAAAAAGCTCTTGGCCTGAGAAGTAGTTACTCACTTCTCTCATGCAAAGATATGACTATTGTGAATTAATAGAAAACAAAGTTTGCAGAGCTGCAAACTGTGTTTTCCTGGCAGTATTGAAGGTTGCTTGTTCAGTTTTTTGGCTCTGAGGCTTCAATGACTTGTAGCCCTGATTGCAATGTGCTTGATGAGGATCACAGAGTACAGAACTCCCTGCTTGCAAGTAGCACCTGTGTAGTTTTGAATGTAATTTTGTAATTTTGAACCCTCTTTTTCTCTCATCCTAACTGTCCTTTCAGTGGCTGTTACAGAGGCATGTGAAATCAGGTTGGAGTAATCATGTGTTGTGTATTCTCACAGAGAGCATTGTCAGGGTCAGAGAACAGCAAATGAGGGCATTATTCAGCTCCAGATGCAAGTCTGCTGATGGACATCAGGGACTAATTACTCACATTTAGGTTAGCTCCATTGAGAGGTGGCAGTATCCCTGAGATGTGGTACCTTGGGCTGTGCCCACTCTCTGTAAGAGTTTGGCCATGTCAATGATGTTCATAGAGCCAAAGGAAAGTTTGGGTTAGAAGGGACCTTGAAGATACTCTCATTCCACCCCCCTGCCACGGGCAGGGTCACCTTCCACTACCCCAGGGTGCTCCAAGCCCCATCCAACCTTGGACACTTCCAGGGATGGGGCAACCACAGCTTCTCGGGGCAAACTGTGCCAGGGCCTCCCCACCCTCACAGAGAGAATTTCTTCCTAATAACCAATATACATCTCTCCTCTTTTAATTTAAAACTGTTCCCTCTTGTCCTATTTTTATCTGCCCATTTAAGAAGTCACTCTCCCACTTTTTTTATAAGACCCTTCAATTACTAGAAAGTGCTTTAAGGTCTCCCCAGAGCCTTCTCTTCTCCAGGCTGAACAAATGCAGCTGTCTTAGCTGGGGTCATATTAAACTATCCCAATTGTATTGAACTGTCCAAGTTCCTAAATTAGGTGGCCTTTTCTAGACAGTGTATTGGGAATTACTCTTGGTCCACTGTCACCCAGGAGGTGATTATTGGCCTAGGCAAAAGTTATGCCCAAACCCACAGGAATAATCTGACAGCACCGGTAATTGCACTAAGACTACGATATAGATCTTCAAAAGTAGCCTACCCAGTTAAAGATCACCTAAGCTTATTTCTTCATTAATATCAGTGTCTAAAAACTGTGGGAGGAATTTCCTGCTGCCTCTTATGTCTCCCTGCACAGGCAGTGTAAGACTGTGTTATTCCTGCACGCTTGTCCCTCAGCTGCCCACGCTATTGACCTGTGAGCAGCCTTCTAAAATGGTTTGGGCTCATGCAAACTGGCCCCTTGACCTCCTTCCAGGCATGGCTTTAGGCACAGCATGGATAAGGGACTACTCTAAGGTGGGAACAGTGTTTTAAGAGAGAAGAACATATATTTCTTTTGGCCAGGTTGTTCAGATTACCAGTAGAGACGTAAACCAAGCAAACACCACCAATGTCATGTTGAATTTTTAGATGCTGTCCTCACAGAGGTCATTCCCAATAAAGAATGGGAATAAAAGTAGATTTCAACAATACCTATATTTTCACTTTTAGTGCTCCTTACTCTCAAATTTACCTGTACAAAGTGGAAGCAAAAGTGCAGTTTGCCTGAGGACTTGGCAGAAATTTAATGCTATGGTTGTATAGGTGTATTAGGAAGTATCTCGAGCCAGGACTTCCCTAAAATGATGGGTTCAAACTGCTTCCCATGCTGTGCCTTAGGATTTTAACCCATGTGTACCTCAGAGATTTAGTTCTTTCATCCAGGAGGTAATTTTTATTCTCAGGACTACAGTGTAAGGCATGATTTTGTATGCCTTAGACACCTCAGCACCATGAATTCAAGCTGTTTCAGTGGTTTTTGGAAAGAAGAAAAGTAAAAAATAATAGTGGAGGATCAGCATAGCTTTGCACTCAGATAAGGAGGGCTAAGCTGAGATCATTCCCAAAGCGTAGCTTTGCATTGTATCTATTTCTGGTGGGTACAAGTACAGGCATGGCAAATTGGATGGACACTTTCAGGTGTGTTGTGCCACTGGAATGGGAGAACAAGGGAGTGGGGTGGTTCTTCAAGCACTGCAAGAGGATTTCTTTCGTGTTGGCATCCTGTTTGCATTGTCCTGTGAGCATCCATGACTCATGGCTTAGGAAAAATTATGCATTCCTCTTGTTCAGGGTTCTATGGTTGACAACTCTAGGCCAAGCAAGATCAGTTCTAGAGTATGTCACAAGCATCTTTGTGTTGAGACTGACCACCTTGCAGTGGAGGTAATATGATGGTCTTGGCCAGCCTTGCAGAATTCTGTGTAGTTGCTTTGTCCTGGATCTGCTGGGGTGTTTTTCCCAATCTTTATTTTTCTCTCTCCCAGAAGTGCTGTGCTCTGTCAAACACAGCTAGTCACTGAAACAGTTCAGTTCAAATCATGTGGTTTTCTTCATCATTTAAAGTCACTCCAGACCTACTCTTTAAAATCATGCACAAAAGATAGTTAAAGTTCAAGGTACAGGCTAAACTATAAGGAATTTGTCCTCAAGACCCATGAATTAACCTAGTTTTAACTAGGACTTTAAACCATTTGAGTGAATAAGTTCAGACAGCTTTAAAATGTCCAGCCTGAAGAGGAAGCAAAAAGGTTGGAGGTGTTTGTGAATCACCTGCATTTCTATAGAATCAGAGAATGGCCTGGTTTGGAAGGCACCTTAAAGTTCATCATCTAATCCCAAACCAACCAACGATGCTGTTTCTTAAATGAAAAGCAAAGGCTCTTATTGCTATTTCAGTGCTAGGGTGGGGCTGGAATATGACACTGCAAATATCAAAAAGTTTATTAGGAATCCCCAGTAAATTCTTATACTTCTGGGCCCTCTTTTGGCCAAACCTGGTAATGAAAAACTGAGGAATACTTCAAATAATGGGAATTGCAACTTCAAGACAAAAGTTACACTAACCAGCTCATGATTTTCATGCTTATTGGTAGCAAGAGCAATGAAATAAAAATTTTTTAAAACGGTCTGTCTATTCTGGAGGTTCTTGCTAAGAGTGAAATCAGAAAAAAAAGCTGCAATTACAGGACTCAAACCTGTCTTGTTTAGTCAATTAAGTCACATAAAGCTTTAAAGTAAAATAAATATTTTAAAATATAAAGTATCCATGTTATGGCGATAGACACATTTTGTATTAAAACCATATAAAAGAAAATTAAAGTCATAACTCTAAAAAGTAGAAAAATAACTAACCATATTTTAACAAAAGTCATATTTCAAAAAACAACCAAATATTTGAAGAAAGACTAATGGTGTGCTGATTAACTATATTACTTTTAAAAATTAAACTTTGCCTTAATATTAACTTTTATCCATGTAAAAAGATCAATGTCTCATACAGTAATTTTTAGGGATCCCAAGGATTCCTTCGCACTGGGATACCCAGCACTCACCCAAACAAATCCCATGTACAATTTTGGAGTTAGTCAGAACACACTGGCTCTGACCACCTTTATTGGAAGGGGAACATAACTTTTCTGGAAGGACGTGAAGCTGTGATGATGTTCCAGGTAGCTTCACAAAGACAGGACAGTGCAAGACACAAGTAAATTTGCAAGCATAGAGATCCAGTGGCTTTCCATAATGATAGAGAAATCAATAGAATCAATAATTAGGTGTGGCATTTTCCAAATATTCTGTTTTCAGCTGGTAGACTGGTCACGAAAGTGGAAGAATGGATCACATGCATGACTGGAGTTTGGAACTCCTCTACTCAAACTGCCTTCGTCCCCAGATTTTCACCCTTCTCAGTCACTTTTCACAGTCTCTACATAGATGTGCTTTCCCTTCAGATTTTCAGGATGTCCATGTGATGATATTTGTTGGATTTGGTTTCCTGATGACCTTTCTGAAGAAATATGGATTCAGCAGTGTTGGTTTCAACATGCTCATTGCCGCCTTCGGTCTCCAGTGGGGAATTCTGATGCAAGGATTTTGGCATATGGAAAGAGGGAAAATTTCTGTTAACATCGAAAGGTATATGTGAATTCACAAAAATTGATATTTCTATGCCTAAAGATATCAGGAGAAGCCATAAACCACAACACCTATGAGGTCAGTCTTGAACTAAATTTCATTAAGCCTTACTGTGCTCCTCTCCACATCCTTCTGCCCTTCACCTCTGAGGGGCCCACTCCTGGTGCACTGGGCCAAAGTTTGTGAAGAAATTTGAGGTGCTATGTTATAAGTGGGAGGTGTGGGTCCTGTAGAGTTATTGCTTTGAATCTCTGACTCTGTGGAAGCTGGAAGATTTCCAGCAGTAGCACAGCACATCCTGCATCCAGCAGACTTGGAAGGATCTGTCTTTCCATGACACATGGGGTCACAGAAGAAAGGCTGCAGCAGCATGTCTGTGCACTCACAAGGTTTTCTCTTACTTCCCAAGGAATGATTTCCATGAGCATCATTCTCCAGCAGGGTCTGAACACCAATCACAGAATAAGAGACCTCATGGGCAACTTCTCTAAGTGATTTTAATGCCCCTCCTCTTCACCTGTCCTGCCTCTACCAAGGTCTCAGAGTGTTTTCCACATCTGCAGTTCTGTTTTCTGACACAACTTGTTAACACTTTCAAAATGAACAGCATCAGAACATTACTGAGAGGAAAGCAGGAATGATAAAAGTAGCTCCCTAATGCTTACAGGCAGGCATCTTTAGAGAGATCCACAGGTTAGTGCCTCTCTGTGCTCTAAGTTTTTGATCAATTTCTGGTTTTGTTTACCTTTGCCAGTCCCCAAAACATATTAACACTGCTCCAGTGTGACAGCTCATGCAAAGATGGTGGACAGAGACAGACAGGTGTGCAAGGCTTCCAGCATTATATAAACCATCTGACCAAAGACACACTGTCATCTTTGAAGCCTAGGTGGCAGTCAGGGCTGGAAATTGAGGGGCCAGAGCATGTCCAGAGGACAGAGGAGCTGGAGAAGAGTCTGGAGCACAGGTTTGATGAGGAGCAGCTGAGGAAGCTGGGAAAGGGGCTCAGCCTGGAAAAAAGAAGGCTCAGGGGGAACTTCTGGCTCTGCACAGCTCCTTGACAGGAGGGGACAGCCAGGTGGGAGTCAGGCTCTGCTCCCAGGGAATGAGTAACAGGACAAGAAGAAATGGCCTGAAGTGACAAAAAGAAATTACACCAAGGGAGGTTTAGTCGGATATTAGGACAAATATCTTCACAGAAATGGTGGTCAGGCATTGGAACAGGCTGCCCAGGGAAGCTGTAGAGTCACCTGCCCTGGATGTTTTTTAACAAACCTGCAGATGTGGCACTGAGGGACATGGTTTAGTGGTGGCCTTGGTAGTGCTGGGTAAAATTGCCTTAGAGACCTTTTCCAATCTAAATGATTCTGTGATTGGACTCAATGGTCTCAGAGACCTTTTCCAACCTAAATGATTCTCTGATTCCATGGCATCCCTGCACATCCCCATACACTTCTCATCTGCCTTTTCATCATAATTCCAACCAGCTAGTCACATGTATGGTGTAAGCAGGAGGAAACCTTCTACACTTACTCTTCACTAGGTGGTAAGATCCTTACAAATCTATCTGGAAAGGCTGATTTAATTTTTATCCATGAAGATGAACTTGATAAAGTTGTATCTGAAGAATTAAAGCTCTGTAATTTTAATGATATAATTTTAATGGCATGTTGGGTATTACAGCTTTTAAACTGATTTTATTTTATTTTTGTGGTTTAGTTTTTGTTTTTGTTTTCTTTTTCTTATCTTCAGCATGATAAATGCAGACTTCAGTACAGCAACAGCTTTGATTTCATTTGGAGCACTCCTGGGGAAAACAAGTCCCATTCAGATGCTGATCCTGACTCTCCTGGAGATCACCATGTTTGCATGCAACGAACACCTAGTTACCAAAGTATTCAAGGTACAACTATTTAGCAATCATTGTTTTCTCTTTATAACAAATGCTTTCACTTTGAAATACTTCCAGTTTGCTTATTCTAGGCTCTGGTTTCTACCACAGAATTAAACCATTAAGTCCTCCAGACTTCTCATTCATCAGACCCTTGTCTTTATGCTGTATAAAATCTCTGGCATTACTTTGGGTCCCTGTTACAGGCCACAGATGTTGGAGCTTCGATGACTATCCATGCTTTTGGAGCTTATTTTGGTTTGGCTGCAGCTTTCGTCTTGTACCGTCCTGGTCTGGCAAACAAACATGATAATGATGAATCCACCTACCACTCAGACATGTTTGCCATGATTGGTAAGTGATGTAATATTGAGAGCTGATGAGCTGTTCATCCCTCTCCCATCCCTATTTTTTTCCGATTACCTATTATTATGCTACATTAATTTTCCTAAGTACACTTCTGGAGGCAAATTCCTTTTACTCTCATGCATGCACCGTAATTTCAGTGGCACACATATTTTTACAATTTTTCCTTGCTTCCAAGGATGGAAAGATCAAATAAAATATGTGTTTTCACTGTGCCTTAGTGGTAAATTCCTTTCTGTTAAATCTTGTGCTTTTCAGCAGTACTTCCAAAGCAATTGTCCATAATTAAAAGGATTGAGTTGTACTTGTCGTGGTAATAAATGTCAGAAACCATATAGCTATCTGTCCATGAGACCTGTTCATAGACCAATTCACCAGCTAAAGCTTTCAGTTGTATTGATAAAGGATTTGCATGTGAATTGTGTTGCCTGTGCCTCCTGCTCTGGCTGGGGTTTCACAGTGGTGGTGAGCTCTGACAGTGAGTGGAGCATGACAAGGGGTCATTAAAGCCTTCCACTAAGATTTGACAAGAGACCATGTGTCAAAATCCTAGGTGCCAGTGTCAAAAGCTTCTGCATATTCTATTATTTCTTCCAGAATTTTGGCCGTTCTGTGTTTCTCATTAATCATTGTCCTCATTTCTTGTAGCTCACTCTGTTTCAGCCCTTGTGAATAAATAGCCTTGGCTTTGTTTTGACTTCTATTCCTGCAGGTACCCTGTTCCTTTGGCTTTTTTGGCCCAGTTTTAACTCTGCCATTGCACAAGCCCAGGTAATAGCCATTATCAACACTTACTACTCCTTGGCTGCCTGTACCATCGTAACATTCGCCCTCTCCAGCTTGGTGGATAAAAGAGGCAAATTCAGTATGGTAAGAATCACAACATATCCCTTGTTAAATCGAGTCAACCCTCTCCAATAAGGATGAGAAGGCAGATTGCCAGTGTCCATCTATCTGTCCAGGCTATCTGGAGCCTTTCCCCATACTATGGCCAGAATTAGAGCTATTATACGTGTAAAACCTATAAAGTCTGATGAGAAGTGGCTGAGGGAGCTGAGAGGGGCTCAGAAGAAAAGGAGGCTCAGGGAGGCTCTTCTCATTTACTACAACTCCCTGAGGAAGAAAGGTTCAACCAAGTGGGGCTTGGTCTCTTCAAGTACCAAGTGACAGGATGAGAGGAAACAGCCTCAAGTTGCATCAGGGCAGTTTATACTGGATATTAGGGGAAATTTCTTCACAGAAAGGGATGGAAAGCAGTGTGGGGACTGGAAACATGGTGGTTGTACTGATTTGATGGTTGGATTTATTAACCTCAAAGGTCTCTTCCAGCCTTAATGATTCTGTGATGATTCTCTCTCATTCACAGAACCTGCTGAACCTTAGAGACATTAGTCCAGTGTTCAGGTGGACTTTTGAATCTTATTCCAAAGGAGTTCCTACTTGAGTTTTCTTATTACAACAGCCAAAAGGTCTCTCAAGGAAAGGACCTGTTCTCTGGAAGTCTCAGTGCAGTTGCACAACAGACAAAACCAAACCAGCTTCTATCCCCTCACCCTAAAATCCAGCTCAGTTTTCACCCTCTCCTTTCCAGCAGCTGCAGTTATTTGTCTGAGCCCAGCATGTGCAAGAGAGCCTGGAGGGGCACTCAGCCCTAAAACAAGCCACTGCTCCTCATGTGCCACCTCTGCCTCACTCTGTGTCCCCCCTGCAGGTTCTCATTCAAAATGCCACCCTGGCAGGAGGAGTGGCCGTGGGTACCTGTGCTGACCTGGAAATCCACCCTTTTTCTGCCATGTTCATTGGGGTCGTTGCTGGAATTGTCTCTGTCCTTGGGTTCCAGTTCCTGACTGTAAGTACCGGGGACCCAGCTCTGCTCCCATTTTTTATTTCTCTTTGGCTTTCCTGGAGCTCCCTTGGTTTGCTACGAAGGGAGGATAGATACAGTAAATCCAGGTAATGGTGATTTTAATAATGATTTGATTCTTGTACTTATGCTCTTTCTTTTGCATATCCATCTAGAGATCATGGAAAATTACAAACTCACTCTAAACCTCCTATTTCCCCTCATTTCAGCCTGTGATGGCATCCAAATTGAAAATTCAAGACACTTGTGGAGTTCATAATTTACATGGTTTACCTGGAATTCTGGGGGGTATTGCTGGCATCATAGTGACTGCGATAAAAACGGAAAGTAGGTGAGTTACAGAGAGATGAGAGAAAGAAGTTTTTTGATTTTGGAAGGTCTTTCTAATTTGCTACCATCTTTAGGTCTAATTATTAATTTTTTTTCAGAAATGCATAATATATTTGATGTCAGGCATTGTATTCTCATTTAACTTGGGTTCTTCTTGATCTCCTGCCTTTAAGACACTGCTTAAATGCCAAGCTTGTTACAGATTAAAAGATCAAATAAAAATAAATAAATTAAAGCATCATAAAGAAACATCACACCAAACCATTCAAACATAGAAATGCCTTTATTATGACTCTACAATTACACTGTTGGTATTTGTAAGATTAAAAAAAAAAAAAAAAAAAAAAGAAAAAAGGCAAAATGGCTTTTTTCCACTGTCTCCGAAGACTCCAAATAGATGAAATGCTGGCTGTTTTGACAACAGGGAGTGTTCTCTAATGGCTTACAGGGCATTAATAACCTTCTCAAATAACTTGTTTTCATCTGTACCCTAAAACAAAGTTAAATTAAAGTCATTAGTTCCTTCTTGTACACAGCAATGGCAGGATTTGTTGGACTCAATGTTCTTGGAGATCTTTTCCAACCATAAAGATTCTAAGATATTTTCCTATCAGTCACCTTCTCCAGCATGCTGCAAGTACAAGTTGTAAGAATGATCATCAGCCTCAAAGTGTAACAATTTTTTGATTGGCAATGGTTTGGTCTTTTACCCTTTTCAGGAATGGTCATGTGCTTACTCCTGCCATGCAGGCTGCTGCCCTGGGAAGTACACTTGCAATTGCAATTGTGGGAGGAGCACTCACAGGTCAGTGTGATGCTTATAGTGACTAAAAACATATGTGAATTTAGAGGTTTCTCCATTGAGAACTTAAATGTATCAACAATTTTGTGTGAATAATACAAATTTGAAATAATGGGTCCCAATGCCAGAAACTCAAATATGGCAAAACAGTTTTCCAAAGTTTTTGTCTTCAAACAAAGTTCAGGTTTGTCAGGAAGAATTTCATCACTGAAAGGGTGGTCAGGCATTGGAAGGGGCTTCCCTGGGAAGTGGTGGAGTCCCCGTCCCTGGAGGTGTCCAAGGAGTAACTGGATGTCGCACCCAGGGCTCTGGTCTGGTTGACAAATATGGTGTTAGGATTGGACCTGATGATCTTGGAGGTTTTTTCCAACCTAAATGTTTCTATGATTCTGTGACTGTATATATCTCACTGAATACATGCTCCAAAGATACTGAGTTTTATATCTATAGAAGTAATAAGGTTTTGTTCTGGAAGGAATTCTTCTCCAGATTCAGACACTTCAAATTCTGAACAGAAACTAGTTTGAGATCAAGACCTACTCAGTGAGGTGTCACACATTTCCATGTGTCTGTGAATACTTCCAAACAAAAAAGTGTTCCAACAAACAAAAAATCAGGCTGAAACAGAAAATTTTGGTCTGAAATCTGGTCAATTAAAAGCAAGCTGCTATTTATGCTCTTATTTATGTTTGTGTGAAGAAATCTGCATCACCTCTCAGAATAATGAGCCTGATGTCCCCAGGATGGTTGAGCATTTCTGTAGATGAGGAAATCAGTCAGAAAACTTAGCTGCATGTCTAGGGCACAGCTGAGGAACATTCATTTGGTCATTTTCTTCACTTCTTAAACCTCTGGTTCTGGTTTTTCTGCAGGTGCTATTCTAAAGATCCCCTTCTTGGGACAAGTATCTGACCAGAACTGCTTTGATGACTCTGCTTACTGGGAGGTAAGACACAACCTCCTTTTATTTTCATTATATTGGAGGATGTACAGTCACTGCAGCCCTGCTCTCCTGGGCTTTGTGGTTTGCACACATGAGTCAGAAAGGCTGCTTCCTCTAAGTTCAAAAATCCTCCTCTACTTCAGGCTGTAAATTTATCAAGACTAGGTCACCTTCAGGATAATTTTTGGCCTTCTTAGGTAATCATGCCTTTTTCATTGGACTCACCTTGAACAAAAAGCAGAAAGAGAGACAACAAATTGATATCACAGTGGAGGCCTTTATCTCTCTCTTTCATGCTCACTGTACCAGGTATCCTCTTCCTTATCAGACATTGATGTCATATTCCTAATTTAGGCAATCTGAACTTTATCATTTCATGACAGGACAAACCCAAAAAAGCAAGGCAAGAATATATAATATACATTCCTTGTAAATAAAATGTGAAGTTAAAGGAAATTTTATTAAGTTTTTTCAATAAATTAAACTCCTTCTTCTATGAAAAAAACCCTGTGTTCATCCCTCAGTATCCAGAATTGATGGCTCATGTCAGGCTGTGTCAATGTTAATAAAAAGACATATATTATACAGAAATGGAATTACATTCTCAGCACATTTTAGTCTTTTATGGCAAAAGCAAATCTATGTATCCTTAACTGAGCTCCTCTTTGTTTTTCATGGCAGGTTCCAGAGGAGGAGACAGTGCCTGAGTTTCACTCCAGCCACCGTGATGAGCACAGCAGATTTGAAGCTGCCATGTAAAAAAATAATTAATCTGCAGTATTTGTCCTAATGATGCCCTTTTCTGTTTCTAATGCTAAGAAAAAATGAAAAAACATCCAAGTATTGTCCCAACCACACCAGGTTTTCAAGAAAAGCCTGAAGATATTTTTGTAGAAGAAAATAAGTTGGATTTTAGATTACTTAGTCATTATGCCAAGCTCAGATGAATAAATCAGGTCCTTCTAATATATTTGTTCATCAAAAAAAGGCACCACAAATTGGTCTTTAAAATTATCTATATTTTATCAGGACAATATATTTAATTGTGAAATTTCTGAGTTACATCCTTCAGCTGTATAGGGGTAATCAAGAAGAAATTAATTGATTTTTTTATATGGATTCAAACAAACTTTTCACTAGAGTATCCCACCTTAAATTTTTGATAAAGTGTGTTGTCCTGTTTTCTGGTGGAGGAGAAAACATGCTGTATTTTGAAGCTTGATTATGACAGGAAGCAAAATGTTGAAATAATTCTTATGGCAAATCACAGAACACAGTGATTGATAAGGCAATATGAGTATCAAGATTCATTGTTAAATGTTTATTGAAAGGGAAAAGAAAGTGAAATTGTTAAAAAAGTTCATTATTGTCATAGATCTATTTATTTATTGTCATAGATTTAGTTAGTTTCAAGGACATAATAAGGGAACTGAGTAGGAGCTAAGAAAACCAAGTAATTGCATGATAGGTCTTATTCTATTCAAAAGTAATAAGTGAATTGCAGCAGTGTTAATGGCAAGAAATACAACCTGAACTAATGCCAGCTCCAGAAAAAACACGAATTGTTTGGAACTGATTGGAAAGAAATTATGTTCAACCTACGGAAGACTCAGCAGAGAACTTCCATGGGGTGAGTCACTGACTCGGGAGTCACTTTCTCCTAAAAGTGAAAGCAAAAAGAAGAAAACTGAAGCTAAATTAAGGAAAATTAACTTCCTCGGAGAAGTGGTGACAGAGGCTGCTCAGTTCAGAGACAAAAATTGAGGTAGCTGAAGGAATTCCATGAGGTGCCTTCGTGCATGGGATGATCCATTGAGAGACAATGGATGGGAAGTGGAGATCAAGCAGAAGGAACACAGTGCCTCAATCCATCATTCACGGAAAGCTACTGCTGATGTCTGAATAACAGGCCAAAGAGGGTGAACTTTCAACCTTCTTTTTTAATACTAGGATCTTATTTCAAGTCTTACTTATCAAACTTAAGGGGGAAACTCCTCTCACATAAAATAGCACATGCATTTTCATTTCTGCTGATGTATTTTTCCTTGAAAATCTTTAGAAAGATACTAGGTAGGGCTGTCCCATATGTTGTACCTGCTATATACTGCTACATATGTCAGATTTCTATCCATGAATAAAAATACACTTGTTGTGTCACACTTTATTTCAGATAAACTCTTTTGCAGATGTGCAATGACTGACTCTCTTCTACCTTGTTGGCTGTAAGATGACCTTTATCCTCTCAGAGCTGTCACACATTCATTTTTGTAAAAATTGGGGAAGCATTTAACAATGTAAATATTGCATTTGTAAAAATTTTAGAAGTATTTTGTGCATAATTTATGGAATGTTGAAGTACTTGAAAAAGATTTCATCTCTGATCAGCCTCTAAAAATCTTATATTCAATACATTAATTTCACCCCTCAAATTCTTGCTTGGGAGTTGAGAGGGTCTTTCATTCACCTTAAAGGAGGGTGAGGTAATTTCACTAGTTTTGAGTGCTGACCACACAGGAATACCTGAGTTAGGAAGCACCACCTACTGGCAGTAAACTAATAATTTGAATTATAGTAATTAATAATTTGAGTCATAAAATCCTTAAGGTTGGAAAATACTTCCAAGGTCATCAAATCCAACCTTGGATGGCTTATCATCATAACCAGTAAACTACATTGAGAATTCCATGTCTACTCACTTCTTGAACACTTCCAGGGATGGTGACTCCCCTGCTTCCCTGGGGAGCCTGTTCCAGTGTTTAACCACTCTTCCAGTGAAGAATTTTTTCCTAATATCCAACCTAAACCTTCCTTGGTGATGGACGCCCTCAGTAATAACATTTAGCGGTTCTTTTAAAATCCAAAAAGGAAAAACCTAACTATACATTTTTGTTATCCAGTTCTGCTTATAATCTTTCCATAGTAATCCATACCCTCATCCTCTCAGTACTCATTGTCCCCAAACTTCTTTTTCAGAAGACTCCTCCCCCAGAGAAATCAGTCCCTTAGGTTCTGTCAAAAAACAGAGTAGAGAGATGAATCCCTTTGTCTTACTAGAGCTTTAAATATTGAGTTTTTTCCATGCAACTGTGCCCTTGAAGTATACAATTTCTTTCTCCAAAGGCTTTTTACCCTAATTGCTCATGTCCACATTGCAGATGCCAGTGGCATTTGGTTCTCTGGCTTAGGGCATTTTCTTTGGTTGTGTATTTCCCAATTAATCAAAGCTTTGAATACCTTGAATCAGCAGAGCTTCATTAATAATTAGTTACAACTTCTGTGAAATACATGACTGGATGTTTAAAAGACAGAAGCTGAAAAAATTTTACTAAAAACCCTTTTGTTCTTCCATGAGAAAGCCTTACACTGGCAAGAAAATAAAGTAAGGAGTTAAATAAGACATGGAGTGGAGGATGAGCTTAAAGGATGGGACTGAAAATTAAACAGAAGTTAAAGTACAACTACTCTAAATTTGAGGCTCGCAATATCAGCATTTCTTGTCTTTCTCATAAAAGACTGGCAATGTTTTATCCCTTCCAACAACCACTCAGCACTCTTCCTGTCTTACCTTTGTTCTCACTTTGACTTTTTTTACATTTAGAGAGCTTAAATAAGGCGTCGTGGCGTGAGGCCTTTTTTGTTTTCTGGGCTTTTTTTTAATGAGTAAAACTTCAATGATATCTTCTTTAAACTAGCTAAAGGTCAAGCTTACTTTAAACTAACTAAAGGTCAAGCTTATTTGTCAGCCCTTTTCAGAATAGCAGTGGGTAATCATAGCTTTGAAGGCTGTTGTATAGTTCTGCATTCCTACCTCAGAGCAGTATCTTTATGAAAAGAAAATGTACTTGAAAGCCATTGGCTGAATATTTGCTTACAAAATTTATTTTAACATTTGTGCTCAAATCTGCTGCTGAATAAATGCATTAATTGAATGATCAGATGACCAACTGTATTTGTTTGACATTTCTTGGGGATGTCTTCTTTCTCTTACTGGGATCAATTTTTCTCAAAATATATTAACAAAATATGTCTCCTCTTGCCAAAGGAGAGCTCTTCCTGTTCTTCTCAAGCCTCCTGCAAAATGTTCACCTTTCAGCTTCCTCTCAGTTCCTTGCTGTTAGTTAAATTCTAGACATATGTGACATTTTCAGTGCCTTTTACCCACTCTGGAAAAGTGAAGTAGAATCAAGCAAACTGGAGCACAGCTGGACACTGGGCCTGGACTTCTTCCAGGACATCTTCCAGGTAGGTGAAATGTCCTGATCTCTCCTCCGGAGCTCCTGTGGTCAGTAACAGGCTCAGGGTGAGCCAGGCCAAGAGCAGGCCTGCTCAGACTCCTCTCCCAGGCCTGCTCAGACTCCTCTCCCAGGCCTGCTCAAGCCCCTCTCCCAGGCTTGCTCAGACCCCTCTCTCAGGCTTGCTCAAGCCCCTCTCCCAGGCCTGCTCAAGCCCCTCTCCCAGGCCTGCTCAAGCCCCTCTCCCAGGCTTGTTCAAGCCTCCTTCCCAGGCTCCCAGCCATGTGCCAGGGCTTTTTTCCTCTAGGTCTCTGCACCTCCATTCCCTGGGAAATTCCCCCATTCCCTCCTCTCCTCTGCCTCTGGCCATGTCTCTGCAGGGACCCTGACACTTTCGGGAGAGAAGGACAAGGGGCTCAGCCTTGAGGCACTTCACCTCACACAACCTTCAGGTTCTGGCCTCAAGGCCACATGCAACTTAGTGTTCAAGACTTCTGCTGGAAAACTCTTCCAAACACTGTCCTGTAGGCTGTGACTCAGCTTTTTGTCCAGTCTTCCCCTTGGCTTGTTCTTTCAACACCTCTTCCTCTGCTGTTGACTCTCTGAGACACCTGAGTTAGGCTGTACCTCAGCCCCCTGCCCTCAGCCAACAGAGGATGATTTTTCCCAGTGCTGTGTCCAGTTCTGGGATTCCCAGTACCAAAGAGATATGGGCAGACTGGAGAGAGTCCAGAAAAGGGCCACAAAGATGCTGGAGTGATTGCAACATCTCTTATATGAGGAAACATAGAGAGGTGGGAGTTCAGCCTAGAGGAGAGAAGGCTCAGCAGGATCTTATCAGTACAAACACCTGGGGGAGGATCAAATAAGTCAGAGCCAGACTCTCCTCAGTGTGTGCCAAGCACCAGGGCCAGAGGCCATGGGCACACACTGAAACACAGGAGGTTCCCTCTGAACATCAGGAAACACTTTTATATTGTGAGAGTGACTAAGCACTGGCACAGAATGCCCAGGAGATGTGGAGTCTCCCTCCTTAGTGTCATATAATTTTTTAGGTCCTTGGAGATGTTCAAAACCTGTCCGGACATAGGCTGGGGCTAGTGGCTCTTGGCGACCCAGCTTGAAAGGGGGATTGAACCAGACAAATTCCAGAGTCCCATCCAGCTTCAATAATTCTGTGATTCTGTGATTTCAAATTCCCAATGAATTCAATGGAATCAAAGTTATGCCACCCATAATCATATTTGTGAAAAGCCCTGGGAAGCATGGGAGAAAGCAATTACACACAATCTGAAAACAGGATAGGCATCCTGTTTCCTCAAACCTCCAAACCTTGAGAAAAATAACAGATTGTCAGGCTGACAGGTTTATTAGAGACCTGCAACTGGGTTATGTGCGAAGAACTGAACAGAGATTCTCACACTAAGTGTGTGAGTACTGTCTTAACTCTGCAAAAACAGATACATCTGCTCTCAGCTTGTGAGTCTCGCATTCATACATCACACACTTTAAAAAAAAAAAAATTAATCTCTTTGCACTACACCCCTGGGCAGTGGAATTTTGATTCCTCAGGGGTATCAAGGATATCTGTGCTAAAGGCAAAAGCATGATTAATCAGTAACCTGGACAGCATGCAGAATTTATGGCTTTTATAGCAAATGTCAGGTTGATGACCTGCAGTTACCCATGTTCTTGGACTTTCACACTTGCCCAGTGACCCATACTCTCACCCAGTCACATTGGTCACATTAGTAAACACATATATGCCCCTGTACCCTTCTGAAGACCCATTGGGAAGCACATGGGAAAAGAGCAAGTCACCAGCCACGACTGAGACATACCCTTCAGTGAAAAAGAGGTTTATGGACTGACACAAGATACTCCCAAGCACAATTATTTCAGGAGGACAGAGATCCAGAGTCCACATTTTCTCTTTCCTCTTCTGTGGCAAATACTTGGCTGAACAGAGATGGGCTGGAACAGCAGCACTTCCATTGGTTTTGTGTTCATCCTGGCTTTTGTCTCCATTTTGAAAACAGCAGATTTCTGGAACAGCAGCACTTCCATTGTTTTAGCGTTGATCCTGGCTTTTCTCTCCATTTTGAAAACAGCAGGTTTCTGGAACAATGACCGAAGACAGAACTTTCCTCCAGGTCCAAGACCATTACCTATAATTGGAAATCTTCTTTTGTTTGATTTGAAGAGACCCTACAGGACTTATCTAGAGGTACTCATTTTCTTTTCTGTTGGTCCTATCAACAAGCCCCATAGTCCAAGATGTCAGGCAATTTCTCCTATTGCACCCAATGTATTGCATCCATACATGAGCCTTTAGCCAGGGATCCAGAAATGGTTATTTGAGCAGAAAATGTTGAATGCAGCATGGTTTCCATACTGTAATATTTTGTCCAGGTTTCAGCCTTCAACAACTTTCAAAATAATAGCAAGCATCCACCTTATTTTTGTAGTAAATTTGAGAAAAAGACAACGGACTAAGGAATGATTGTGATACGTGGTGTAACCCTCTCCGTCTTCCACTGATTGATGTACCTGGAGCTGTAACTGCAGCATCTTGGCATTACTGATTTATCAATGTTCTCATCTCCTTTTCCTCTTTTCTTCCCCAGAACCTGAAGATATAACTATATACTCTTAATATTCAGTGCCAACCTTTGCCAAAATAATAAATATTTCCGTTTTCTTCTAGTGCTTACTTTACTTAGTTTTTTGCAGGGCTTTGGTGACTTTGAGAAGAGTTATATGAACCCCCTCCTTTCTTAGAGTTTTTTCTGCTTAGACATTAAAAGTACATATTTTCCCTGCTGATGATTTTGAAAGGGATATTTGCACCAACGAACCTCTATGGATGTTGTACCCACAAATCAAAAGACTGGCTAGATGCAATATCTGGAATATCACTGTAGCTCTCCTACACAGTCCAATTGTGTTGACAAAAGCAAGTTCCATCTGTTTTCAGGCCAGCAGAACAAACATGTGTCTGCTGTAATTCAGTGATTCCTTTCTGATGCCGGATACTGGCTCTCTGACTTGAGCACAATTCAGATGTGGGTGACTGCTCCTGTTTTTTCAGCTAGTTGTACTTGCTTACCACTTGCTGAACATTTTGCATCTTGATGCTTCTGTTTCTCTCTGCAAAGCCACTAGAAAATGAGTGCAGTCAGGAAACCCTTCTCCAGTAGTCAGAAGAATCAGGAACACTGAGTTACAGAAAAATAAATCTACCTGTACCAGCTAAAAAACAACATTGTCTCTGAGACAGATTCATGGTGCATATAATTATGTATAAAAAGCTTGAATGTGTCTAATGCTAAATCCTGGCCCAGAAACAAACTGATTTATTTCTAATAAAATAATGGTACCAAACATTTGAACAGGTTATTCAGGTGCAGCCTGTGCACAAAAGAAACACAATAGCATAGAACTGTCTGAAAGCATGAGTCAAACTGAATTTACAAGAGCTTCTGAGGGCAGACAGAACTCTCAGAGCAATCCTTTGCTGACTTGGGGTTTCAGCTGTTGATACTTCTGCTCAGTTTAGCACAATAGAACTCTTCTCCCAACTGTTCCATTTAGTCATTATCTACCACAATGTCTGGCACATTGCCATCATTTAAATCAAGTGTCTTTCCCTGTAGTCAGGAAAATATCTACCACGTGAGTAACCCAGAGGAAGGACTGAAAAATAAGCAGCACTGGAACGGGTGATGAATTTCTTTATAGGCTGTCAAAGTGGTAAATCACTGTTCTCTTTTCCTGACAGCTGTCCAGAAAATATGGTCCAGTCTTCAGTGTTCAGATGGGGTACAGGAAAGTTGTAGTGATTTCTGGCTATGAGACAGTGAAGGAAGCTCTCGTAAACCAGGCAGATGCATTTGCAGAGAGACCTAAAATCCCAGTCTTTGAAGATTTGACCAAAGGAAATGGTAAGTTTCTCTTATTCTTCCTTATCAGCTTCACCTGTTTGGTTTTTTTTTTTTATTTTCCCTATAGACAAAGCAGGAGCTGGGACAACACTTTGGATCAGAAATCACAAAAGGCATTGGAAACAGGGAGCAATTTCATTGACTTTAGCGCACTTATTCAACTTTGAAATTACTGACAGTGGCAACAAAACAACCATAACTCTAAAAAAAACTACAGCAACAGAAAATGGATATTGACACACTTTCAGGATCTAGAACAGGGCATCCTTGCCAGAGAAGCATTTCTAGCTCTCATGATATGGCTCTGAACTTGTAGGGTTTTGGGCTTATCACAGAACAACCTTTTCTGAAATTAGTATTCTACTGTTGCTCATCATTTCAGTGGTAAATAGTGCTTTTATATTCAGAATAGGACAATAGATTGCATGTAGCACATAGAGAACTGTGGATTTATTTTAAAAAGAGGAACACTGTAATGAGCTGCGTTTCAAAACAAGAATTTCAAACCCATAGTTGAGGTCATCAGTTAAATGATGTAACAATTTAAGTGAAAAAAGCTGATGGTGGAGGCTTTAAGATATTACTGAATTTTTTAAGACATTTGTTCCTACTTAATTTTTTTTCCTGCAGTCATCAGAGATCTTAGTTCAATTCCTCTTCCAAACTATGATGACCAGCAGTTTGAACTTGAATTTCCAATGTCCAATTTCTTTCAGTGACAAGTGTCTTTAAGGATATATATTCTTCTTAAGA